CATTAACCTCAGGAAAAACAGTCTTGGCATATCCACAACATCCTGTGGTGATGGTCTGATAGTCTTGTGCCAGAAGAAAATACAAAGCACGGGTAGCTGAAGATAAATTTAGGCCCATCTCTGAATTGAAATGAGATAAGACAAAAGCAATGGTATGTAGACATATTGTTTAAAAATGTTTGGTGGTCTACCTTCACGCTGCAGTTAAAAGAATGTGAGAACAAGTCCCCGGTGCAGGGCTGCCACGGGCTGCCAAATTCTAGATGAGTGGAAGGTGATAGCAAAGAGATATAGACAACCTACTTCTAACGTTCAAGGATCATCTATTTTCCAAAGCACCAGAAGGCAAGAGAAGAAACAATGGATGATAAAGAATCAGGGAGTGTTCCAAACCAGAACTGATAAATTTCCTAACAATGAGAACAATTAACCAGTAGAACAGCTTGTCTTCAGATGTTGGGGGTGCTCTGTCATTCAAGGCTTTTAAAAAGAGGCTGGACAGCCATTTGTCTGAAATGGTAACGTTTCCTGCTTGAGTAGCGAGTTAGACTAGAAGACCTCAAAGTTCCCTTCCAACTCTCTTATTTTTTTCTGTTAACCTACATCCCAGAGAATCTGTCCCTAATATTGCACAACTACTGAACTTATATTTTAGTCTTTAAGAGACGTGTGTAAAAGAACCCATCTTAAAGTATGATAGAGAACTGTAATAGAGCAGAGAAGAACATTTTTTTCATGGTATAAGCCAAACCATATACAGTAATTTTGAGGTTCAGTATAAATAATTTTTCCCTTAGAAAAACTAAATAATACACAACAGTGAAATTGATTTCAGATTTAGGGCATGTCAAATTTTTCAAGTTTCAATTTCCAAACATTAGGGATGCTCAAAAGCTGTGACATGCCTTGGGAACTGTCAAGTTATTTTGGTTACTTTAATCTAATTTAGGTGTGTTTGGTAAGTAACTACATGAATATTATAAGTTAACATTTTGTTTGTTTCATATATCACAGATATAATTGTTTCTCCAACATCAGTCTGCTGCTTGCCATGATGGTGAAGGAGGTTAGGAAAAGAATAACATGAGAGCTTGAGGATTCCCTAAATGCATCTTTGTAGCAGTATATGTAATTTGAGTGTAGCAAAGCCTTTTGAGAATTAAATTAATGTATTTGTTGTTATGAGTTGTGGAAAGAAATGCTAACATACATTTGGTGTTAACAATGACTAATGGACTTTGCCACAGCTTGCAGATGCAGAACAATCTAATGCTAACAATAGTTAATCATTGTTTTCCCAATTAGCCAAGTTTTATGGACTTGCACTATGCATCGAACCATAAGCTAATCACACCAATTGTATTTGCACACATCTTTCTATTAGTTGGCTCTTTTGTAGCTTGAAGTTTGCAGGTAGGTTATATAGCCCAGACGCCACAGCAAAACTTGGCCATCAGTGATGTGCAAATCCTCCCTTCCTGGTAACTTTTGCAGTGGCTGGCCAGATTTTATTTTTTATTTTTATTTTTTATTTACGGAGAAAATACACTTGTTTATGGTCTGATTCATATGGGAGCCATGATCCACAAGGAAAGGCTAATTTTTTTATGGGCATTTTATTTTCCAAATGGACATTTACCCCAGCTGTTCCTTTTCACAAAGAAGCCAGATAAGTAAACACTAATAAATAGTTTATCACTTTTTCTCCTTTATTTCTAGAGGCCAGAAAGAGAAGTAAGTATTGGTTATTTGCTGCAGCTATGATATGCAGGCTGTATCATGGCCAAAAGAAATTAAGGTTTCAAAAGGCTCCACAGATTTAGCTGATATGTCAAGGCAAACCATAAACTGATATAGCATATTGTAAGAATGTATCTAAAAATCATGCTTTAGGATAAAGGTCTCCAAGCACTACCAGTCTCTGGCTACTTGAAATGAATTTTACATGGTAATGTTAGATATCCTAAATTATTTTTCTATAGTTAAAGGAAAGGTGGACAAAAGTGATGGTCACATGTAAAAAAAGTGACAAGCATAATAAGGCCATGTTGTCTAGACCACCTATAAAATGTCGTGATTGAGGCAAGGCCAATTGCACAAAGAAATCCTCATCTGGATATATGCAATAACAAATGAAATTCAATCCAATTGTAATACATGTATTGGATTTTGGATTCTCCCAGAAGGAAGAAAAGTCTCGGCTAAACTACCTGGAATATTAATAAGTCTGACAAATGTTATTTCAACAACAGACAAAAAAAATTCTATACAGAATAAATGGGCATCATGCTGAGAAAACAGGTGGCAGACCTCAGACAAAGTTCCCTGGCATTTAGTAATTATTTCTCCCTCCTTTTTAAAGGGTATAGAATATTGTCTTAATCTGTCTTCAGAGGAAGAAGAGGGGACAGATTCATTCTGGTGTATGTTTTATTGTCTTCTTTGTGCTTGTAGTCACTAATCTCATCGCAAGTAGGCCTTACAACAAAACGTTGCAATAACCTGTTCAAATGTTCAGTCATTGTTTCATTCTCCATCTGTTGATTATCCATTTCTCTATTATCCTAATTAGTCCTTGACACTGAATTTTGATATTTTATTTTTTCAGCAATATGTTCTTACAGAACTACTGATTCTTCTTTTTCATGTCTGAAATCTGGCTATTAAGACCAGTCCTAGAAACTGATATTGTTTTATTATATTAAAGCTAGGTTGGAAATGTTTTGAAATAAATCTAGTATATCTGAGAATTCTTAGAGAGATAAATTCTTCCAAAACATACTAAATCCATTTTTTGAATCTGCTTTTATTACAGACTTACAAGTTTATAAGGCAAGTGGCAAATTGTTAAGAGGAAAAAGCCATAAGTCTTCTAGTGTATTTACAGGAAATAATTCAGATATTGCTTCCCAAATAATTACATTAAAATTAAAAATAATAAGGGAGATACTAGTTATGTTTATGTAGTAGGAAATGCTTTTCACAAGTTGTATTCTTCCCGGGAAAAACATCATGCAAATAGTGTTTTGAACTCTCACTAAAATGAATGGAAAAACTCTTTTAAAATTCTTTTAAAAGAAATAGATGAACAGGAAAGGAAATATCGGTATTGTTCTGCATACTTCAGTAATAAAGAGCTGTAGAAAAGTACCCCATCAACCAGAAGGAAACACAACTGAATAATGATTGAGGGCCATTTTTCCTAATGCCTTACCTTTGCTGTGTTTAACAAATCAAGTTCATGAAGTTCCTGAAAAATAGGTTTTTAAATAATGCTTGTCATTTCAGCAATAACACTATCATTCGAACTGTGTTTTCTTTCCATTTCAGCAGTGCTCTGTACAGTACCTTAAGGAAAAAAACATATCTATAGTAATAGTTCATGTTGCTGCCTTCCAAATACTTTAATTCCCAAATGACCAGAATAGTTAGAAATTCTGGAAGTTGTAATTCTAATTTATCTGGAGGCAAATTGATATATATGATGGAAGCATATATTTTCCTTTCATAAAGGTAGCAGGCCCAACCACTTTTTTCCACACCCAGTTGGAAACAAAGCAATATTCTACACCAAAAGTGGGACGTCTGCAGCTCTTCAAAGGTTGAATTATAACTCACTGATCTAGAGAGAAACAGAGGGAATTGTAATTCACTCATACCTGGAAAATGAACTTCTCAGATCTTCATCTTCATTGAAAAACTAGCAGACCCAGCATATGGAGCTGCTCCTGTTTAAACATAACTCTTGAAGTAGAGATGTTAAATGGAGCACTGACACTGAGCTTGTTGCTTCCCAATGCTCTTCAACAGCAGGCCAAGGCAGAGGCATTGGAGTAAACATCTCAAGAGTTGACAGGGGCTTTAGTGTTGACAGCCTCACATCAATAAATTCTGACAAACTACGAACATCGTAACTTTCATAAATGTAAATAGCTAGCTACTAAATAGAGTTTATGTAGCTCTGGAATCCAACTTTTCTTCATTTGGTCAAGGGTGAAGTTTGCTATTTGAAGACAGCAGTTCAAGAGAAGGTGAAGGATGCAGGGCCTCAGTCTTACTCGTTTTCCTGATACCAGAGCCAAATAAACACAGGATTTCCTCTCTGCAGAGGAAATGGTGGTGTTTTCTTTCAACGGGAGAGTTTCACAGTGAGCTGGCGGAAATCTGGAAATGCTGCCAGAAAGATGTATTGTTTGCATGATCACCTCCACAAACCCCTGACCCCTGCCACTCTAATGTAGTGTGAGCAAGAAGCAAAAGCTTATCTATTCTAGCATTCAAGCTAGATGCTTGATTAGTTTTAAGCTGCGTAATTCTGGGAGTTGTGTCCACATATCTTTTAAGTTGCCAATGTTGAGAAACACTGTTTTAAATCTATCTATTTAAAACATGCAGACTTCTTTTCAAATATATATTACTAGCTGATCATATGGTTCTAGTTTAAAATACAGTAGGATCTTTTAATGGAAAAATGATCCGCTAATTTTATGATGCCTCTTTAGATAGCATTTCACTTAAGGGTAGACAGTTGCTCCTTTTGAGGAAATACACGAGGAGTCAAATCCTTTCCCTGTCACAACCAAATTTTCAAGGAGTTTTCAGGAGAAAAAGTGGATTTCTTGAATTAAAGTCATTCTGAAAAAGATTCCGGGGAGAAACCTCAGGTAAAACTTACTTACTTGAGCTTTATATGCTTTTTCTTAATATTCAGCAATATTGACACAGTATAGACTTAACCAAAGATCGTTCCAAAATTTGCCAAGCATAGGCCTAACATGAAGCAGACTCTTGCGCTGACATTTAAATGGGATGGCATCTTGGTTCACAGAGAAATCTCACCGTAAGAGTTTAAGAGACCTGGGGCAAACTGCATTTATAAAGGTTGCCCAGAGCTGTGCAGTGGAAAGCTTGAGATCTATTTTCAAATTTAGCTTTTCATACTCCTGAATTTGTGTTGGGTGTCTAGTTCTCACAATCATCTTTTTTTTTTTTTTTGCTAGGTTGGTGATAAGGTGATGATTATGGCCCGGTCAGGTCTCTGGCAAGAAATTGTGACAGTTCAAGCCAATCAGACTTTTCTCATGCCGGAAGGTATGAGCTTTGAGGAAGCAGCTGCCTTTCTGGTCAATTACATCACTGCCTACATGGTTCTCTTTGATTTTGGCAACCTGCGCCCTGACCAGAGTGTCCTTGTCCACATGGCAGCAGGTAACAAAACCTGACCTACTGTTCTTGCAATGTATTGCTAATCTGCTTGAGGCAAAAGTTCATCTTTTGCAAACTTCTGACTAGAAAAGTCAAAGCCAGATTCACTTAACAACTGTTATTAACTTAACAACTGCAGTGGTTTATTTAACAACTGGGTCATGAAAGATCAGGTACAATACATCCCACCTTTAAAGTGCTTGTGTGGTGACAATTTTTACCTATTGTTTTTAATTGATTATTCTTTTGGGATATTTATTTGCAAGTATTTTACTTTTTTGTGCATCTTCTTGAGAGATTTTTAGATAAAAGATACTAACATATCTTAGATACAAACAAAACAGGTTACATTATGGAAAAAAAATCTTGCACAAGTTCATTAAAATTGGATTTATGCATTTGTGCTACCAAAGTGAAAAATAACGTTCTTTATTTTTGATTCATGAGAATTCAGTTTTTGTGGTTTTTATATTATATGGTTTATGACTTAGAATGCTCTATGTACCAGCTACTTATGGCTTATTTACTAAACATGGTTTATATTATATGGTTTATGACTTAGAATGCTCTATGTACCAGCTACTTATGGCTTATTTACTAAACATGGTTTAAAAATCAAGGGTATATATAATCTACAGATAGTCCTTGATTTAAAACTATTCATTTAGTGACTGTTTGAAGTTATAATGGCATTGAAAAACTGTGACAATCAGGTCTTGCACTTATGATTATTACAGCATCACCATGATTATGTGATCAAAATTTTGGTGCTTGATATATAGCATGTATTTATGACAGGTGTGGGATCCTCTAGATTATGTCACTTTTATTTGTGACCTCCCTGGCCGGCTTCTGACAAGTCCAGTCAATGGTGGAAGCGGAATGACCACACAATCCACTTAACAACTGCAGGAATTCACTTAGCAATCATGGCAGAAAAGATCATAATACTGGGCATGCTTAACAGTGGAAATTCTGGTCCCAGTAGTAGTTGTAAGTCGAGGACTACCTGTATAAAGTCAAGCCATCATAAATTTCATGGGGAAGGGGGATTGGAAAACTATTTTCCCCCGGCCATAAATTGGGTTCATAACACTGTTAAGTTGGAATGGAAACTTTGAATCCTTATAGCAATTTCCCCCTAAACATTTTCTGTGTGTAAAATGGGTAAAAACTGATGACAACGTTTCATCCTATTTTGAGATAGAAACATATATGAAAACTGATACCCATCTTACAAAGGTCATTTAATATTTTAAAAAACCTCTATACACCTAGCATCACTCATGTGTGTACTGTGTTCTCAACCTGACAAAGAATGTGGCATATGGCCTTTGGTCACAGAAACATTGCTACTCATTCTGAGATATAGTTTCTTTTAACTTTGGCTTGTTGAACATACCATAATGGCCTGTTTCTACATAATGTTACGAGGGGAAAAGTTTATAAGGCACAATCATGGGATTTATAATATTGCATGACACAAAATTAGTACATGGTTGGATAGTTTGTGGTTAGCCCATAGCCACTGTGGTTAGTTAACAATTCAGTATATTGTGAGAACCTGGCTATTGGGTTAATTAAGCAAATCATGGCATAGAGAAAAACTTTTTGATACCTTCTCTTGGTGTACATTAGGCCCCCTGATTTGGACTATTTTTAATAAAGATTCCTTTATTATTTTTAATGGAATCCGATATACTGCAAACAAAAACACCAGCTGCTGTGTTTATACTTGTGGGAAAGAATAGCTTAATGTATTATGATTGGCTAAGCCTACCATAAGCAGCTATTTACAGGTGAAACTTGAAAAATTAGAATATCGTGCAAAAGTTCATTTATTTCAGTAATGCAACTTAAAAGGTGAACCTAATTTATGAGATAGACTCATTACATGGAAAGCAAGATAGTTCAAGCTGTGATGTGTCATAATTGAGATGATTATGGCTTACAGCTCATGAAAACCCCAAATCCACAATCTCAGAAAATTAGAATATTGTGAAAAGGTTCATTATTCTAAGCTCAAGTGTCCCACTCTAATTGGCTAATTAAGCCATAACACCTGCAAAGGGTTCCTGAGCCTTTAAATGGTCTTTCAGTCAGGTCCAGTAAGAATCACAATCGTGGGAAAGACTGCTGACCTGGCAGTGGTGCAGAAAACCACCATTGACACCCTCCATAAGGAGGGAAAGACTCAACAGGTAATTTTGCAAAAGAAGTTGGATGTTCCCAAAGTGCTGCCTCAAAGCACATTAATAGAAAGTTATGTGGAAGAGAAAAGTGTGGAAGAAAAAGGTGCACAAGCAGCAGGGATGACTGCAGCCTGGAGAGGATTGTCAGGAAAAGGCCATTCAAAAGTGTTGGGGACTTTCACAAGGAGTGGACTGAGGCTGGAGTCAGTGCATCAAGAGCCACCACACACAGACGGATGCTGGACATGGGCTTCAAATGTCGTACTCCTCTTGTCAAGCCATTCCTGAACAACAAACAACATCAGAAGCGTCTTACCTGGGCTAAAGAAAAACAGACCTGGTCTGTTGCTCAGTGGTCCAAAGTCCTCTTTTCTGATGAGAGCAACTTTTGCATCTCATTGGGAAACCGAGGACCCAGAGTCTGGAGGAAGAATGGAGAGGCACACACTGCAAGATGCTTGAAGTCCAGTGTGAAGTTTCCACAGTCTGTGTTGATTTGGGGAACCATGTCATCTGCTGGTGTTGGTCCACTGTGCTTCATTAAGTCCAGGGTAAGTGCAGCCGTCTACCAGCAGATTTTGGAGCACTTCATGTTTCCTTCCACAGACGAGCTTTATGGGGATGCTGACTTCATTTTCCAGCAGGAAGAGGCAGCTGCCCACACTGCCAAAAGCACCAAATCCTGGTTCAATGACTGTGGGATTACTGTGCTTGATTGGCCAGCAAACTCGCCTGACCTGAACCCCATAGAGAATCTGTGGGGCATTGCCAAGAGAAAGATGAGAGACATGAGACCGAACAATGCAGAAGAGCTGAAGGCCGCTATTGAAGCATCCTGGTCTTCCATAACACCTCAGCAGTGCCACAGGCTGAGAGCTTCCATGCCACACCGCATTGAGGCAGTAATTGCTGCAAAAGGGGCCCAAACCAAGTACAGAGTACATATACATGCTTATACTTTTCAGAGGTCCGATAGCGTTCTATGTACAATCCTTGTTTTATTGATTGCATGTAATATTCTAATTTTCTGAGATTGTGGATTTGGGATTTTCATGAGCTGTAAGCCATAATCATCACAATTATGACAAATCATGGCTTGAACTATCTTGCTTTCCATGTAATGAGTCTATCTCATATATTAGTTTCACCCTTTAAGTTGCATTACTGAAATAAATGAACGTTTGCACGATATTCTAATTTTTCAAGTTTCACCTGTATGAGTGGACCTCAGGCAAATTCCAGGTATGTTACCAGCCCACAAATTTGCCTCTTCTTGCTTTAATTTGTTATGCAAATACAGCCACCCTGTTTGCTATATGTCATATAAGAATGTAACATGTTATATGTTATTTTTTTCTGCTCCCAAACTCTGAACTATAGTATAATACTGTAAAGCAGGGATAGAGAAATTAAAAACCAAAGATTTTTTTTGCACTGCACCAATTGTATGGCCAAACAGGTCAGAAATGATGTGAGATTGATCCAATAGCAGCTGGATGCTTGTCCTTATTCCAAAAAGTTCTAATCACTCACAATCTATCCAGCTGTCAGAGAGTATAGTGGGGAGATAGTCAAGACCATTAAACAGCATCAAATACCTTTTCCTGTTAAAAGTTAACACTGTCTTCATGCTTTGCTCATTTTATGACACTACTGAGAACTTCTTCCACTGATTTAACTTTGATTATGTGGAAACATGTAAATTTAGTGAGGATAACCCATGTTGACTCCTTTAATGAATGGAAAACTTTGCATTTTTTTGGCTTGCAGGCCTTTTTCATTACTCACTTGACCCGTTTTTCTCTCTCTCTAGGTGGTGTGGGAACTGCAGCCGTCCAGCTCTGCAAAACTGTGGAAAATGTCACCATTTTTGGCACAGCATCTGCCTCCAAGCATGAGGCCCTCAAAGAAAATGGGGTGACTCACCCGATTGATTACCGGGCAGCTGATTATGTGGCTGAAGTCCGGAAAATTTCTCCCAAAGGTTAGTAGAGGCTGAAGAAAGGGATGGAGTGGAGTAAGACAATCTGAAATTTCCTTCATTTTCTGTGCTCCTGCTTGGGACACTCAAGTATTATGGGAGCTGAAAAGAAGGTGCTTGATATACTGTTGTAATTTCAATGGTTTATTATTTAGAGTTTTAAGTTTAACTTGCAGAGCATGACTAATCGTATGAATTGAAATGAAACAAATCAGCTGAAACGTGCAGAAAAATGTCAAACAGAATTATCAGGTGGTGATGGTGATAATTGGATTGATGTGTCACTTCAGGTTCTTAAAAGAAACTCTCTCTCTTTCAGGGAAATGTTGCTCTCCAAAGTTGGCAGCCCATATATTATTTTATGTACTTTTATAATAACTCCAGCCCAGCTTAATCAGGGCTACCTTTTTAATCAGGTTAAGTAAATAACTTGAGTTGGTGGTGCTTTGAAGAGCTATCAATCTAAATTAATTTTTCAAGGATGGAGATTAGTGGATTCATTCCGAAATCTGCTCAGGCCATACCTTTATCAGGACTAACAAAAATATATCAAACTGGGAGCAAACCTTAAGATCCAAGTGGTACTAGATTTGTTCCCTCTGTGTAAGAATAGTTAACTAAACAGTATGAATATGCTTTGATGTCTAGAATGACTTCATATCTAATCTTAGATATAATTCAGTCTTATTTGGAAACACTTTTTGGATTACAATTCTATACGTAGAGTTGTGGCAAATCTGGATTATAGAGTTTATATTTTAATCTGATATGTAATCTGCTCTATACATTATTTATAATATTTTTCTATTGTATGTTTACGTATAATTTTTCTTTTTCCTGTCATGGTTTCAGTTTTCCCTGTTACATATTTTAACACTTCAGTAGGGACATGTTTTAGCTAGAAATGGCATATCAAATTTCTTACATTACTGTAAAGTTGTTAATGGTGCATTAGAATATATTAGCCATAATAGTTAGTTATTCAAATTTTATTGGTTATCCATATTTTAATGTTTATATTGGTTTTCCCTTCATATCTCTAATCCCTACACTCTTTTAAATCAGCATTTGTATCAGCGTTATTTGTTTTCCTTTTTTCTTGAACTTATTATAATGAAAGAAAAAAGGGAAAAATTGAAATCATAACCGGCACCCATAGATTTATTGGCAGATGTATAGTAAAAATAAAGAGAGCATGAGAAAACGTTATGGATGTTCTGCTTATAGATTTATGGCTGACTGAATCATATATTTGAATAAATTATTAGTTTGTGTTGGAGATTTATTTATTTAATTTTTTTAACCAAAACTTAACAATAAAATTAAAAGTAACTGAAATTAAAATTATTGAAACCTGGTTAAACTGAAAATGCCACATGCGAAATTTTATTTCCTTTCAATTGAAATTTTCCATTAAAAACTCCTGTTTTCTTTCCCCTTTTCCTTTTAGGTGTAGATGTTGTTTTGGACCCCTTAGGAGGTTCAGATACCACAAAAGGCTTTCATCTCCTGAAACCAATGGGCAAACTAGTCAGTTATGGTGAGTCAGAAAGCATTCCATCAAAGGATGCTTGGAATTCATCAGAAGTTGAGTCTCCAAATCTTCTAAATCCCAAAGATCAGATCTGGAATTTGAGAATAAGAGTGCCTAAACGAGATCACTTTGCAGTCAAGAATCATTCTCTGAAAGTCAAACAAAAAGTAATATTACAAGAGGTCTGTTTTTCTGGATCAAACCGAAGCTCTAAAAGTAGTTAGCTGGATGCCTTAGTGAAATTTGTTCTTTTTACATTTTTTAAAATCCTGTCTTTATTTTTTTTTTACAAAAAACTCAAGGTGCTGAATATATCCAACATAGCTTCCTCCTCCTATTTGCTCCACAACAACAACCCTGTGAGGTGATTGGGCTGAGATAAAGCAAATAGCCAAAAGCTATTCTGCTGGCTTTCATACCTAAGGTGGGAGTAGAACTCACAGTCTCCTGGTTTCTAACCTGGCTCTTTAACCATTAAAGAAAAGTGTGTGTGTGCATACAGAAACATTTTTGGAAAGGAAAACCTTTCCCCAAATCCCAGCCTTGAAAGCTATTACTCTGCTATTGACATAGAAATACTTTCCTTTTACAGAAAGCAGGGGTAGGTTGAGTTGGACTGACATAATGGTGTAGCCTAGAATGTCCTCATCTTCTTGCAGACACTTAAATTAAAAGGAGCGTAAATTCCTGATACAAGAATGCAGTTTTGGAATGAGAATTGTAGTCTGAGCTGCAGTACTTTGCATTCAAAGAAAAAGCCATCTTCAGTGGCGGATGAAGGCTCACTAGTGCCCTTAGCACTGACAAATCTTGGTACCCCCCTCTGTACATACAGTAAAAACAAAGCCATATTCTCAACTTTCTGGTGCCCCTTTTGGGCCTGGTGCCCTAAGCACGTACTTAGTCTGCTTAATGGTTAATACATCATTGGCCATCTTGATTTTTCCAGGCATAATTGCCAGAGTTATTATATTGATGGATCTCAAGCAGGGTATTTCTCAATTTCGTAGGTGTAGCCAACTTGCTAACAGGACAGAGGAAGAACCTGATGGCTATGGCAAAGACCTGGTGGAATCAGTTTAGCATCAATGCCTTGCAGCTGCTTCATCTCAACAAAGCAGTTTGTGGCTATCACTTGGGCTACCTTGAGGAGGAAGTGGAGCTTTTAACTGCTGTGGTGACCAAGCTAATTGCTCTCTACAATCAGGGCAAAATCAAACCAAAGGTGGATTCTGTTTGGCCCTTTGAACAGGTGAGAATGTTTGGCCTCCCAATGAGTTATTTTGTGCTCCACAATAAAAAAAAAACCTCTGCCTTTAGCTTAATTTATTCCCCTCCAAAGAACTGAAATCATTACAGACTTCAACTCTAACAATTATCCCCAAAGGGATTGGGGATAAGGAGTGATTTCAGAATCTTAGATATCTGCTGGCCATCTGCCATACCCTTATAATAGTGAAAGTTGAACATACAATATATAGATCACATTCATTTGGTTGGCCTTTTAAATGCTTGGAGGAAGGCAGATTCATAAAAAACCCTCTGGCAGACTTTTCAAGGGCAAAGACAATGAAAAGAAAGTATAAAAGGCAAAGTTAAAGTTTGTGTAAATCCTTCTTTATTTTACATTTGGCCTTCTGATGACAGGAAGTATTTTAAAAAGTGAGTAAGCAAGCAAGAGTCATTTGATCAACACTCCCTCTCTCACGTGTACAAGCTTCTCTCTCAAGGCAGATACTACCAAAAACAAACTCCATGTCATATGTGACCTTAGTGAGCAGTGAGTATATATTTAAAAAAGAATGTTGACTATAGTTAATTTACAATGCACCAATTTGGGGAAGTTTGATATATATCTGTGGGAAGCCACTCCCCTCCCAGAAGAATGAAATATTTTAAGGAGAAACATGTTTCTAAAGACAGAAACTGAGAGCCACAATTCCCTGCCCCCTAAGCAGATACTAAGCTGAGGCCAGCTTTTAGAAATGCAGAGTTGGTAATCCATTCAAGACAGGTTATTTTGAACAAAGACAGAATTAGGAAGGATGGTAGGACCAGCCCTCACTCAAGATCCAAACCAGGATAGCCATTAAGACACAATAGGAATGGTCCAACACCTTTTCAGGACACAAATCACTTTACATCATCTCAGAGGGTCCAGGCTTCAGTCAAACTAAATTCAGACAACCTAAAAGTTAGCTATGACTCCCAGACCCCTGGAAGTCTGTCAACCAATAGAATATATTTCTTGGACAGGAAGTTTAAGGGCAAGGCCCAAGAGAAGGTATAAATACCTCTCTGTCACAACTCCATGTGGTCAGCTGCCCAGGACTTCACGCCCATCTGGTCCTGTCCATCAGTAAACCATCTTTCCAATCAGCCTCCATGTATTCAGTGTCTTTTTCTCCTCACATGGAACTGAACCAGATGGAACTGATCCAACATAGTCTTGGATGCATTCTCCTTAGTCATATTTTTTGAGGCAGAAGGGATGATGAAATGGTCTGGTTCTTCTTCTGATGCAGGTGGTTGATGCCATGAAGCAGATGCAAGAGAAGAAGAATGTTGGGAAAGTTGTCTTGGTTCCTGAAGCTCCACCGAAAGATGAAAACAAGAAAATAGAGAATTAAAGCAAGGGGCATGGGTGAACTATTTGACCTCAGGTTGATTTTGGGGGACTTTTTTTTAACTGCCTCCCCTCCACCCCCACATCTGACCCCTGAGGGAAGTAGAAATGGACAGGTCTCTCACTGCTGTTAATGGAATAAGTGACATCAGGACTGAGGAAAAAAAAGTCTTTTCTTGTGGTTAGTTGGCCGTTTAAAGTTGAGGAAATCTTCTGAGTTTCATAAAATCTTTTACAGAGTGGAACTTAAAAGATTGCCACATCCCTGTGAAATTATTGGTTGGTCTACTTTAAAAAAGAAATCCAGCACTTCTTTTGCAATCTTGATATTTTGCTCTTAAAGGAACCATATAGAGAATTATCTGAAGTGAAAAGAATACAAGGCAAAACCTATCCATTGGCAACGCCTTTGATTTCTTGATCTTACATTTTTGAACACACTGTTCAAAAATTCCTAGATATGTTATTTGTCTCAATGACATCTTCTGTCCTTAGCCATCCTTAGCTCACCTCTGAATACTTAATGATTAGTAAGTTTAGAGATCGTAAAACACCCATGGTTTTAGCAGCTATTGGCAGTTGACAGTTTCCATAGAAACAAATCTTTGAATCTGCTACTTTGGAAGGGCACATTTAACAAACAGAACACACTAGATATCTTTGCAGCTGGAGGGAGATGTGAGGAAGAAATTTTTGCCTCTGGGGTATTAATTTACCTTAGTGCAACAAAGCTACCATAGCTTGCTGCAATATGAAAGTCCTCTGTGCTATCTAGGCAAAGCTCATATATCTTCTTCTTTTTTTGCCAAAATCTACTATGGAGAATGCAAGTATGAAAAATCAAGGAATTGCCAGTAAAGAAACTGCAAGATTCCAAGTATGGCTTGTTTTAGAGAGAAGTACTGACTTTCCATTTAAAATGGGTTATGTAGACAGACATTTATTTAACAGTACTAAACAGCTGATTAGCCTGTAATCTCAAAATAGTAATTTCATGTTTATCATCTCTGGCTTGTGGCTTGATATCAAGCTGTTCTAAGGATTAACTATATAAAAAAATAGATGTTCTCAGTCAAAGATACGAGAAATACTTTAATAACATTATTCCCTCTTACAATTGTTGTTTAACTTCAAGACCCAAAATATTTAGATGTGCATTGTGCCTGTGATTTGCAAGTTACACTAAGGATGAGCCTAGTTTATGCTAAAGACTCGCTGCAAATTAAATATTCTCTTAATATTTTTATGCTGTAGAGGAAGGGCAACAGGACCAATTTTGTACAAGAAACAGATTGGGCAGGAAATAGTAACAGATTTTTACATTTGTAAGATTCTGACTTGACTTGAAAAAAAATCAATTGGTCACTTTGGTAATGTATCTGGAACTATTTCTGCTGAAGACCTTTTTTGTTGTTGAACAGATTAAGTTTGTCTGATCCTTTTTCATTCACCACCATTTCTGAAAGCTCTTCCTTGAAAATCTTCAGAGGGTTTTTGTGTATGTATGTCAGTAAATAGTTTTGCTATTTTAGGAATTTGATCCTCAGAGTATTTCTCAGCACTTTGAATTATCCATTTCTAAAATTCCTCCTCTTTCCAGGAGTTTTGCCAATCTGCTTTGGATAAAGCTATTATCCTTCATATTCCAGTAAACAAAATATCCAAGAAAAGACAAGGGTCCCAAGTTGCTTCCTCAAAGTGTTCTCAATTAGTTATAGCAGAAAAAATCCTAAATTTAATATTCTGTCTTTTATTGGCCCAGGAAAAAATATTTTCAGTAGATTGTATCAGTTAAGCATCTTTCTTTCTGGCAATTCTTTTTCTTTCACCCATCTGAAAGCCATCTATGAAAATGTTAAGACCACCTTCAATCCCCACACAAAATATATATTTGTGAGGGGTCCTTGGTGCTTTCTAAGCTCACCTGCTTTCTTGCAAATGCCTCATTACCTTAACTAGGTAAGCTAGCACTGATAATGTAACCTAGTTAGGGTAATGAATCATCTGCAAGAACATAAGGAAGCTCAGAGAGCACCAAGGACCCCGCATTTCAACCCTGAGCTACAAATATTCTGCTTTATTAACATATTCGTGAGAATGGAAACCATCTTTGATGTCCTTTTAGCCAATCAGCCCTTGATTATTCATGTTACTTAGGGGGATCCTCAGCTTACAATCTTTTGCAGGCCTATGTTTATTTAGCATGTCTGTTTTGTGAACAGAACATTTTCACAATTCTTGCACAAAGCTTTTCAATCCTTAGTACTGCATGGGGGGGGGGGATTCATTTAAAAAAGCAAATGAAATGGAACCTCGTAACTTCAATGTAATATAAATATTTTCTCTTCTTTCTCAAACATCCAATTGCGGAATTAGTTGCCATCTTGTGATTATGGAAACAATAAGACAATATATTTGTAAAACTTCAACTTGAGAAGGCTATTTTAAGACAGCTGTCTTCCTTATACAACCCTGTTAGCCATTATAATGAGGAACACAAGAAAGGAGGCATCTAGTGCAATCACTGTGGAGAAAATCTGGCTTGGAATGCCAGACATCCATTGGATAGTTCTAAGCAAAAGATGGAAGTTCTGGAAATGATTATTCTTGCTGTGGATCATTCCTTTCATTATTTTGTATATATTAATGTTTTGAAATTGGTAAGTACATCATTTCTATAAGCTCAATCAAAGGCTACCAAGCATTTTTAAACATTATTTAATCTGCCATGTTCTTACTGAAATATAATACTGTACAGAATACCAATTCGTGGGATCCCCAAACTGAGAGGAACCAAAAGATCAGTTCCTTCAAGGAACCAATGCTCAATGCTAGAGCACATAATTCTTGTGTAGGTAATTCCAAATCCAAGCCATGCTAGATAAAGTTAGGAGAGTTGGAAAAATGTTGGCCCAAGAACTTTCAATGGTTTTTAATAGTTTAATGTAGTGTAAGGCAGATTCCTAGAATTTTCATACCTTACGGAAGGACAGCTGGCTAGTCATGAGACTCATCAAATGCAACTTTTCTAGTTTGAAGGCCTTCAGAGATATTGAACTTCAACTTTCAGCATTTCCAGCCGAGGGAATTTCCAGCTTCCATATCTAAAGGGCGTCAGAAGGGGAAAATGCAGAGATCTGATCTGATATGCAGGAGATTCGATAGATATTGGAGACTAGCCTAGAGCATAAAGCTGTAGCTCTAATTATCTGATGTGGCCTTTCTTCTGCCACTTATTTTATACATATATCCTCATATCTCTTGATATTTTTTACCATTTCCTAGGACCTACCAAGGTGCAATTTTTTAAACTTCTGGCTTAAGATTATAGGCCAACAGGAGTTTACAGATCCCAATTGTATGATCAAAAGAGAAAATGAGTTTCAGGTTTTCTGTTGTTTTAAGCACAACAAGGGGAAAAAAGTCTTGCATGATCAGCTGTGGTCTCTCAAGCTTTTACGAAATAATGGGGGAAAAGGGTGGGGTGGGGAGAGAATCTCTTGTAAAATTTTGTGGGTTTAGTTGTTGGTTTTTTTCTCTCTCTCATGCCTTCCTTCTTGCTGCTGCCGGTGCCTTATTTGGGATGGCATTCCAAAACATTTCTAACCTCATCATTGTAAAACTGCAAGGAATAGCCTTGCCTTTAAAAGAACTTCTATGCTGCATTGTTATTCCCAATTTATTGTGCCTTGTTCCAAACAGTGAGTAAGGTCTAATTCAAGAAGCCTTTGCCAATGTTGACTTGTTAAAAAAGAATGCCCCATCCCAAGGAAACAGTTTGAAATGTATGTATGGCTTCTGTTCCTTAATCAATGAGGACACTTACATAATAGGATGAGTTGTTACAGAAATGCATAAATGTTGATGTTATTATTAACAGATAGCATGAATTCTCCTAGATATATCCATCCTTCTTTATGAGAGTCATCAGATATTTTTTGCAAAATACCGTGGAAGTGTGGTTCAAGTCTCCTGACCAGCATTTCTGAACCTTATTTTAAATTGAGTAGATGTAGCTTAATGAACCTCTGTCACATAATAAATATGGAGAATCTGAATTCTGTTAATAGTATAATTTGTGGAGCTTCCCATAGGTTGAGAGAGAACCGACTGTTCCCTGTAGTGCCTTTGGGAAGAGATGGGCTAAGTTCAGCTTTCCATGTATTCCCAAAGGCACCACAGAGGGAAAACTATTTTTAACCTAAAGCAGCAGCAAGCGAAGTCCTGCTCCCTTCCTGCAACCTTGCTCTCTCATGCTGGAATCTGACAGTTTTTAAATGTTCTTCCGGAACAGAAGAGATCTTTATCTTTGTGCTAAAATAGATTTGTCTTACTACTACTCAGCTGTAGTTCTTTTATACAGAAAACATCCAATTTTAAAGCACTATAACTATACTCTTCGTTGCCTTGCTGATTAATACTGTAATCTTGAATTTTTTATCATCTCTTTTATTTTGCAGCTTGACTGCGTGTGTCTATGTGAAGTGCACCCATGTATGTATTTCAGACAATTATTTTATGAGCCATTTGTAATAATAAAGCCTTTGACCACCTCTCCCTCACTTTAAAATTAAAATGACTTGTCTTAACTAGTTAAAACAGTGTGCTTAACTTCAAAGTTTAAAATGTGCAGGGGGGATGTGTGAGAGGAGAAATAGGATATTTTCTATTGTGATAAATGTTGTCCATAAAACAAATACAAGGACATTTATCACAAGAATCCTTTATTGATACTTGTTCTTGCAGAGTTCAGGATAGTTCAAGATTTTATCACAAAACTCCAAAATGAAGATGCCTAGATTGCCATGGATGTAGGGTTGATAGAGCAGTTTAATTGGAAAAAAGTGCCATATTTCCTGCTCAGTGAGCAACATGTAGCCTGAACATTATTGAAGGCCCAAAGAGTATATTTTGAAAAGCCTGTTTCATAGGGCTGAAGTGGGTCCTTAGTGGAATGAACAGCAGTCCTCTTACACAACAACTCCCACAACTTGATCTGGCAGTTAATACCAGCTCACCTTATTTAGGGACCTCCTCAAATAAAGAAATAAAAGAGGCAAAGCTCCCTCAGGGAAATGATTTGCAATGTGCCAAAGTTAACATTGGAGCTGTCTTTAGAGAGATTTAAAAATACTTCTTCAATGAAATCTCTCTCTAATTTTTATAACGTTCTCAACTACAGATAGCATAGTATGTGGGTAGAAGATCACTCAAAGATGTCTATGAAGATTCTCAGTCATCCAGGTCATGATTGTCCCAAAGGTGCTTTTTCCCCCCAAAAGGCAACTGGACTTTCTTGGTTTTTTTTCTTTGAAAATGTTTCACTTCTCATCCGAGAAACCAAGGAAGTCAGTTATCTTTTGGGAAAAAAAGCAGTAGAGTAAAATACACAGAATGTAAAATAACAAGCTTTACGTTCCTTTTGTAGACCCATTCTTGTCTTTGATTATCAGGATGACTGAGTTCAACTGTCCTTCAGATTTAAACATTTCAGAATTCTAAGTTCATAAGTAAACCATTTTTATTTGTTTAAAATTAAAAGTTAAAATCCTTTAAAATTTGTTTTATTATTTTTAGTTTTAAATCTGTGAAATAGAAACATTTAAAATATTTTCTCTCCATTTTCATTAATTAAGTTTTCTTTTGGTTTTCAAAGTGGACATGTGGCATTTTGTTAGGCATGGCTCACCAAATCCCAAAAAGAGTATTTAATTACCACTGGGAGAGATGTTAGTGATGAAGGCTAAAGCCAAGGTAATTGTGGGTCTTTCAGAGGCAGGAAAAGCTCTCCCTTTGTCAAGGCAGGCCTGTTTTATTTGCATGATTGTTTAAGTGTGATGTAGGGTTGAATGACAAGCAGTGGATATCCTGGCCCTGCAGAGCCAGCTGTGGAATCACCACTGTTGCCAAATAGATTCCCCCATGCTAGGGAGATACTGATGAAGAAAAGCTGTTTGCAGTGAGGGCAGGCTGCATGGTCCCCTCATACCTGGTGACAGCACCTGCCCACCCCCGCTGCTTTGGTTGGTCCACAAACAGCTTTTGTGTCTTTATGGTTCAAGATGCTTTTTCAAGTCTTTGTGGTGTTTGAAAAGAAGTCCTCTTCTGCTTGCGCCTGTGCCTGCGTGTGTGCCTGTGTGTACGTGTGTATCAACAAAGCAAATGTGCCGATGCTGTCTACAGATTCAGACATGAAATTGCTAGTCTGCCTACTGTTACCATATGCCTTATGTGTTTCTTGGGTGTTCCATTAAAAGCATAAAAAAATGAAAAAAAATGTGTTCTCATCTTCCTATTCTTTCCTAGTTTATGTGCGTGAGACTTTCCCAGCACATGGGAGAGTAATTTCATTATTAGGGTTTTCTGAGAGCATCCAAGAGACCTAGGATGAAGAAGGAAATTGATATAGCTGCCCGGAATAGTTTAAACTTCTCTGACCACCCCAGTTTAAACAAAAGGGAAATTAAAATGACAAGTGCTTTATAAGAACAATTATATGTGAAGAAAGGCCTATATAAGAAATGAGGAACTGGCTTCTAAATCCTTCCCTCGTGATCATGCTGTTAGAAGCTGCTAGACCTTGTAGCTTAGCATATCTGAGTGGCTACAAGTTTCCTGCACCTGACTTTGTGTGATTAGGTTTACATAACTATTTCCTGAAAAGGTTTTAAAATACAGTTACTGTTTGGAGGAGAAAAGGACATAACTTATTTGTCTTCGCATTCTGAACAGGTCACAGTCCAACCTGGAACATTCTAAATTTTACATCATGTTGCAGTAGGAAGTTAAGGTCATATTAAAATAAAATATCTGGAACATTTGTTACTCAAAGTCAGCAGAAAACAGAAAAGGTTCTGAATAAAGTGACAAGTTTTGCCTAGAGGCAGAAATATATTTATTTGCAACTCCTGGAAATTCAGAGGGACTAGCAAGGATAACTGGAGAGAGAAATGAAGAATACTTTCTTCTCTTCTGGGAGTCAGACAGTGTCTCAAAATGTAAAATGATTCTGCTTGCATCAGCTGCACCCAACATCACAATGTGATTTCAAGCATGATACCAGATCAGATGCACAAATCTTTCCTGTATCTACTTGTCCTTTAGAGTAATAGCTGCACTGGGGCATGATATTTTAATTTAGAAGAAAAGCTGCTATTTTTCCCTTTTGCATAATTGCTTACGTCTACAATTTTCAGCACAATATCCAAAGGCAATTGTAGAAGTACATTTTAATTGAAGAAAAAAACGTGGAGGAAAGTCCCTTAGACTTTGACAAATATTATGAGGAATGTAATGATCTAAAACATCACAAAATGCAAGCAAGGCAATCTTAACCGTTCGTTACAATCCTCTCATGTGATTCTTTAGAACCCATGAAATGTCTCTATATATTTGGCTACAGTGCTTCTCTGGAACAGCAGTCAGGTCAAATATGCTTTTGTCTGAAAACATACTTCCTGATTGCAGAGGGGAGGGAGGGAGGGAGAGATTGAGCAAGAGAGCGAGAGTTATGTATTTTAAAAGGGAGGCATGCACATACCTGTAAATGTTGTTAAGATGGTGGAAAGCAGGGCAAATACTAAACCTACAGAGAGACATATAGCCCTGAAAGCTGAGAAATTAAAAATCCTGTCCCCATCCGTAGAAAGCACTAATTGTTAAGGTAAAATTAAGGCTTGTGTAGATGGACCAATTTAAGGAAAAAGTCAATATTGGATGAGTTATACTTTTAATTGCCAAAATCATTACTGCAAAACAAAAGGGTGGGGGGTAGCACTTACTTCATCCTGATGCAACTTTATTAGTTAGCCAGCCAACTAATGCTCAGTATTATATCAAAGTCTCCGTAAAGGATTAAAGGTCAAGGTATTTTATACCCAGACATAACAATGGTGCAGCTTTCCATTTGTTTCTGGGTAAGGGCACGGGATTGAAAACGAGGCACTGAAAACCATGAGGGGCAGCATTTTTAGAAACCGAAGAAATGACAAGTAATATCTGACTTGATTCCTCAAATAAAATAAAGGACTAGCTATAAAAATGTTGATTTTTGTGTAAGGAGTACTGTACTAAGTTATCTGTCCTCTATATGTTTATGCGATGAATAAAAAAAATTTTATACAGTGAAATTACGGAAGTAACAATCATCACATCTAGGAGAATTCAAATTTCAGAAATTTAAATACATTTACAGAACAAGATATACATATCAAATCCACCTATTATAAATTAGAAATAAAAAACCCTTTCACATGGGCAGTCCCAAACTTTTAGACCCCTTGGCATTATACAAATCAAGTGTCTTGATAGTAACTATCAAACCTCTGTTCACTGTCTTTAACTTATAAGATTCTGGCAGGTTTTACCTATCTCAAATATTGCAAATTATAACTTCTAATGGTCTGTCACCATTTTGGCAAGCCACTACTGGAGCTGGTTCATCAACTTAAGAACCAGTTTCCCCAGTTTAAGTCTAAAGAATAATATATATTCATCATTTTTACTCAATGTATTTCATTATTTCTGTTCAGTTACAAAGAATTCTTGGAACAAATTGAGGGTCAAGGAGACTACAGCATAAAGTTCTCAAAGCTAAAAATATATATATATCCTTAATGACAGCTTAATTCAACACAACCCTTTTTGTGGCCCCCCCCCCCCCCCAGCATTTTCACTGAACTGAGGTGTGTATGTATTTCGCTATGGGCAAATATGATGGTCTTTTTCAAATCAATGTGTGAAAATTAGACTACTGTGAAGTGTTCTGTCCTTTCTTCAATGAAACATACAATATCTTCTATTTTTCCAAAATCTATTGGTGGCTAGCAGCTGAAATTCCAATAATTTCTGCTTTCTTTTCTGCATAAAATATGTATTTTAAAATATAAAATTAGTGGACCAACGAAGTGCGATGGACATAGCATACTTGGATTTCAATAAAGCTTTGAGAAAGTAGAGCATAAGCTCCTTACCATAGCAAGGTAGAAAAATGTGGGATAAACAGCATCACTGGATAGATTTGTAACTGGCTGACAAACCATACTCAATGTGTAATCCTTAATGGAACTAAATCCACATGGAAGGAAGGAAGCAGTGGGGAAAAGTTCTGTTTTAGGCCCAATACTCTTCAATGTCTTCATACATTATTTAAATGATGAAACAGAAGGAGAACTCATCAAATCTGCAGACAATACTAAGTGGGCAGGAATAGCCAACACCCGAGATGATAAGCTCAAGATCCATCTGTATCTTGACAGACTTTAATACCTATTTAACAAAATGAAATGCAATGTAAGGAAAAGTAAGGTCTTACACTTAAGAAAGAAAAACTAAAAGTACAGGTACATATTGCATGAAATCTGGCTCAATACCAGTAACTCTTAGAGAGATCTTAGAGTCCTAGTGGACAACCATATAAATATGAGCCAGCAGTATGTAGCAGCAGCCCAAAAAGGCAATGCAATCCTAGGATGCGTTAACAGAGGCACATAATCATGTGAAGTATTAGTACTGCTTTACAAAGTAAGACCACACCTGGAATACTGCATCCAGTTTTGGTCACTACATTATAAAAATGATGTTGAAATTTTGGAAACAGGGCAGAGAAGAGCAACAAAGATGATTATGGGCTTGGGACTAAAACATGATGAACTGTGACAGAAATTGGGTATGGCTAGTCCAATGAAAAGAAGAACCAGGGTAAACATGATAGCAGTGTTCCAATATTTATGGAACTTCCACAAAGAAAAGAGGTCAATCTATTTTCCAAAGCAGCCAAAGGTAAGACAAGGAGGAAAAAGATGGAAAGCAATCAAAGAGAGATCCAACCCAGAACTAAGGAAAACATTTTGACAGTGTGAATAATCAACTCGTAGAACAGCTTGCTTTCAGAACTTGTGGGTAC